CAGCAGGGGCTAGCAGGCCTGCAGCTTTCACCCTACTGCGTCTTAACACATACAGTGTCGCCCATGTCACGAGTTTTGCTTGTACTCAGCTTGAGGTGCAATTTCCTTCAAACCCCTCCACCTATCTCTGTGAAACTTGGCAGGCTTTGTTGCCTCAGCAGGGTCCACCACCCCTGCTGTTTTGACCCCATGGTGGCTAAACACATACACGTAACATGAGATTTTTGCTTTCAAGAATTTGAGGTGCAGTTTCCCTGAAACCCCTGCATCTATCTCCTTGAAACTTGGCAGGCATCATGCCCTCAGAAGGGGATACCATTCCTGCAAGGTTCACCTAAATCAGGCCAGAAATGACAAAGTAATAGGCTGTTTCGAGCTTCCCCATTATAGCCTATGGGCAAAACGTTGAAACAGCAAAACTCTTTTGACAAAATGGAACAGAACAGCAGTTTTGAATCAAAACAAAATTCAAAACGAAATGTTCTTCTGTCAAAATGCAAGTCAAAACAGAACAGTGCCGTTTTGCCCATCCGTACTGAGCAATTCTTAATCAGGCTGTTATCTGCATTTACCGTTACAGCTGAGTAATCATTAATTCAGGTTCATGTCAGATACTTCTTCCAGGTTATAGTACCCAATAAAGCTCTGACATACATCCAGTTCAGAGTTCTTTGTGTGACCATTGTTTTCGTGCTTACTAGCAATCCACTGTACTGGACAAATGGACATTCTCCCACGCAGCTTCCATCTTAGGTGTGTTTTACTCTGAATTAATCACCACAGAGCATTTTCATTCGGTCTCCTTGAACCATTTTGGAAGTAATTCCATATCCAGTGGATTCTCTGAGCTATCTGTATCTGATATATTGTTTTCTGGTTTCAAATTACAAAATCTTTTTTTTCCCCCCACACTTGTGTTATATGTTTTACTGTTTCTGCTGTATATTAGATTTCTGAAATCAATATGCACTTCAAAAAGGAAACATACAGTGTAAAGTATTAATAATAATCATGATAGTAATCATTATTAAAAGAGAGGCTGACTTTCATTGTCTTTTTAATAGCTAAATGTGGTGGAACACTGACAGATATGGGTGGAGTGATCCTGAGTCCAGGTTTTCCTGGTAATTACCCTAGTAACTTAGATTGCACATGGAAAATCTCATTGCTTTCTTGACTGGCTTTTCTGCATGCTTCAGTTAGATTAGTTTAT